GGCCATCTTCCACTGCTTTCCCAGGCCATAGCAGAGAGCTGGATCAAAAGTAGAGCAACCAGGACATGAACCAGTACACATATGGGATGCTGGCACTGCAGGCAGAGGCTTAGCCTACTATGCCATAAGTGCCAGCTCCTATTTTGCAAAGCGGAAGTCAAGGCATAGAGAGGGCAAGTGGTTTGCCTGCACCTTATGGTGAATGCCAGGGCTGGGATGAGAATCTGAGAGTGTCTGACTCCCAGAGTCCATTCTCTTTTGCTTTTATCTTAAAAAAAAAAAAAAAAAAAAAGGGCAGGCCAAAAGAAAGCATGCAGATAGAGCTCCTGTCCTCTGGTTCACTCTCCAAATACCAGGAGCCAAGAACTCCACCCTGTGGGGAGCAAACCGGACTAGACTGTTACTGGAATTAAGACTTATTCTGTGCATCTGCTCTCCCACAGTATGGCGCTGGGAGAGAAGTAAACAGCTTCCGCACAGCTGCCTCCAGTTCAACCAATTAACTGTAGGACTTGCTCCTGATTGGAGGAGAGCAGCGTGCTCGGCGTGTGGGCAGCCGAGTTGGGATTGGCGGAGGAGGACTATAAAGGAGGAGAGAGACGGCATGCACCAGGAACATCTATGGGGAACATCTAAGGGAACCCGTGCAGCCCCCAGAGAGCCGGCCGGCGGTGTGCCGCTCCCCTGCGGAAGTGGGGAATGCGGCCAGGGGGAACTGCCCTTCCACGGAGGTGGAAGGGATAGTAGCCAACCCGGGAAGAACCAGCAGCAAACCCGGGGAGGGCCGAGCAGACGAAAGAACAGCGCAGGGTCCTGTGTCGTTCCTCCACGAAGAGGGGGAGCGACATAATGGTGCCGTGACTCGGATAGGAAACCTAGGACGGATAGGAAACCTAGGACGGATAGGAAACCTAGGACGGATAGGAAACTTAGGAGGGAAGAAACGGGAAGAAATGGGAAAATACCAGAGAGAGAGACTAGCAAACAGCCTAGGGAAAATATCGGAGAGAGAGAGACTAGCAAACAGCCTAGGGAAAAGCCGGACGAAAAAGGTGCCGGAAGAAGCTATTGAAAGCCTAGGCATAGACTCGGATACGGACTACGGGGGGAAGCTGGGAGAAATCTCTAAGGTCGAAAGCGAAAGTGAAAGCTAGAACAAACAGACTCAGATGCAGACTGTGGGGAGAGGCCAGGAGAAATGAGGGAGGAGTATCGTTGGAGGAAAGCTTGGGGAAACATACCGGGTAGAGAAAAATGTTAGGGAAATTGAAGCCGCGGGGGGCAGGCCGAGGCGGAAACGGAAGCCACTTTGGGGTTCTCAAGTTAGCCCGGGAATAGGGGGCGAAAAGTTGAAACCAGAAGCTGAGACGTAAGCCAGATTGGGATCCGTCTGATTAGCCCGGGGAGCAAAGGACGGGAAGCCAGATCGTGGGGCGGAGACGTACGCTGGGTTGAATTCGCCAGGCTAGCCCGGGGAACTTAGATTGAATGCTAGTGGCGGACACGTGAGCTACGCTGTGTTACTCGCGGAAGCCGCCGCGTGCAGAGAGAGCACGGGGCGTGAATAGATAGGGAACGCTGGCGTAGGCCGTGGTTTAGACGCGAAAGGGTTAAGCGTGGAGACCGCGGAGCGCGCGAAGCCGAGCCGCGCAAAGCCGGGAAGCTGCATAGATGAGAGAGGCGCGCGGGCTGAAGCGGCGCAGAGCCGGGAACCCGCCGGCGGGGCGAGGTGCCGGAAAGCCGCAGGGATAAGAGAAACAGAAGTTTTAGAAGTAAAGTGAGAAAAATAGGAATGCTGGAAGATAGAAGTAAAATGGGAGAAATAGGAATGCCCGGAGATAGAGAAATAGAGAGAAATAAGGCCTCCCCTCAACATGCCAATTAGAAGGCTTGGATTCGGTCTGCCCGATTAGTGAGGCGATGAGCACCTGGGCGGCTAGCCGCAGGTCACCGAAGACAGGCACGAATTAACATCAGTAAAGCTTCCCCACAATGCAACAATTAGGAGGCTTGGATTCGGTCTGCCTGATTTAAGGCGGTAAGCGCCAGCAAAGCTCGACCAGAGTATGAGCTGCAGGTCACCGAAGATAGGCACGAACCAACACTAATAAGTCTCCCCCACAATAAGGCAATGAGAAGGCTTGGATTCGGTTTGCCTGATAGGTTTTGTAAACACCTGCAGGCAGTTCTAGCAGAGCAGAGCATGCGCTGCAGGGCACCGAACACAGGCACGCATCAGCGCCTAAAAACCTCCTCACAACATGACGAAGAGAGGACCCGGATTCGGTTTGCCTGATAGGACTTGTAAGAGCCTGTGGCAACTCTAGCAAGTAGAGCAGAGTGTGTGCCGCGGGACACCGAAGACAGGCGCGTATCAACGCCAAAAATAAAAAGAAAGGGGGATCTGTGGGGAGCAAACCGGACTAGACTGTTACTGGAATTAAGACTTATTCTGTGCATCTGCTCTCCCACAGTATGGCGCTGGGAGAGAAGTAAACAGCTTCCGCACAGCTGCCTCCAGTTCAACCAATTAACTGTAGGACTTGCTCCTGATTGGAGGAGAGCAGCGTGCTCGGCGTGTGGGCAGCCGAGTTGGGATTGGCGGAGGAGGACTATAAAGGAGGAGAGAGACGGCATGCACCAGGAACATCTATGGGGAACATCTAAGGGAACCCGTGCAGCCCCCAGAGAGCCGGCCGGCGGTGTGCCGCTCCCCTGCGGAAGTGGGGAATGCGGCCAGGGGGAACTGCCCTTCCACGGAGGTGGAAGGGATAGTAGCCAACCCGGGAAGAACCAGCAGCAAACCCGGGGAGGGCCGAGCAGACGAAAGAACAGCGCAGGGTCCTGTGTCGTTCCTCCACGAAGAGGGGGAGCGACACACCCTAGTCTTCCATAAGCACCCAAAAACTTGAGCCTTCACCTGCTGGCCCCTAGGGTATGCATTAGCAGGAAGCTAGATAGGAAGCACAGGCTGAGACTAGAACCCAGGCACTCTGCTATGGAATGTCAGTGTCTTAACCACTCAGCCCAAGACCTTCCTCCTGAGCCCACTCTTTGATTTATTGCAGACAGAATCCATGATGAAGCACCGAGGCACCATCACAAAACCAAGATCAAGCAATTCAAAAAGACAGGAAAATGGCTGTAAACATGACAGGTCCTCCATTATCCCAAGAAAGACTCTGGATGTTGTGTGTCTGCAGGGAGAGGGCTGAAGAAGGGAGAGCTTCGGAGTAACAACATACCGTGCTCTCGGCAGCATATATCACCTCACCCTCATCAGTCGTGCACGAGCCCCTGAACCACAGGCGGGGAGTAAAGCAGGCTGTGGCAGGAGGGGCCTTCAAACCGCCTCCCTGGTGGGAAGCAAACATTCCGCCCACCCAGGGGCAGCTGCAAGGATGGAGGACCATGGAGCATGGCCAGGAACGTGCCAGGTCAACCGTCATATCCCATGGCCTCAGAGCAGGAACAGGGAAAGGTTGGGGACTGAAAAACAAAATGCATTGGCTCCAAATTACAAAAAGAACACTGCAAATTCATAATCAATAAGTGTTTAATTAAATGTCTACAAAAGTAGCATTCTGTCAACCATATTTGAGAAATTAATATTCATAAGAATTTCATTACATCTGAAAACAATCTGTAGATTAGGCTCTCTTTCTTCACAAGAATTCCAAGTGTGAATGAGAAATCACAGCAAGTTGTAAATTAGATAAGTTGTTCCTAGCCAGATCATTTCAAAGGCAAGATTATTTTTTTAATCTCCCAAAATATTTACAGTAAAAATTTTCATATTTAATGCCACTTTTTTTTCCCCCTTAATGATGCAGGATGGGGATCTCTCAGATCTCTCAGAGCTCCGGGATCTTTAAACAGCCCTAGCCAGTGTCATCCTGAACATGCAAAGAAGGGCCATTGAGGCCATCGATGAGGGCAGGGGTTCAGCCTGGCGGTTGACGTCTGTCTCGTGTAGGAGTAGCTGGTTCAGTACCAAGCTCTGGTGCCTAGCTCCAGCTTCTTGCAGTGACTTCTTGCATTGACCACCTCCTTCTACATGGGAGACCTGAGTTGCAGTCCTGGCTCCTGGCTTTGGACCCCCAGTGGGCACATGGGGCATGTAATGCCTGAAATGCTGCATTAAATCTTAATTGCATACTTGTTGTATGTAATTGCAACACTTGTTGTGACTGTGAGCACAGGATTTGAAATCAGACTGTCCTTGTTCAAGTCCCCACTCCATACTCAACTGTGTGACCTGAGACAGGTGGCTCTACCTTTCTGGGTCTCATTCTTCTCGTCTAATAAATGTGGAAACTATGAGAACATAGTCTAAAGGTTGAGAGACAGGGGGGCCTGTGCTGTGGTGCAGCGGGTTAAAGCCCCGGCCTGCAGCGCCACCATCCCAAGTGCTGGTTTGAGTCCCAGCTGCTCCACTTCCTATCCAGCTCCCTGCTAATGCTCCAGGGAAAGCAATGAAAGATGGCCCAAGAGCTTGGCCCACTGCACTCGCATGGGAGATCCAGAAGAAGCTCCTCACTCTTGGATTTGGATGGGCTCAGCTCTGGCCATTGTGGTCATTTAGGGAGTGAACCAGCAGACAGAAGATCTCTCTCTCTCTCTCTCTGTCTCTACTTCTCTCTAACTCTTTCAAATAAATAAAATAAGTCTTTAAAAAATAAATAGGCCAGCGCCGCGGCTCAATAGGCTAATCCTCTGCCTTGCGGCGCCAGCACACCGGGTTCTAGTCCCAGTCGGGGCGCTGAATTCTGTCCCGGTGGCCCCTCTTCCAGGCCAGCTCTCTGCTGTGGCCTGGGAAGGCAGTGGAGGATGGCCCAAGTGCTTGGGCCCTGCACCCCATGGGAGACCAGGATAAGTACCTGGCTCCTACCTTTGGATCAGCGCAGTGCGCCGGCCGCGGCAGCCATTGGAGGGTGAACCAACGGCAAAGGAAGACCTTTCTCTCTGTCTCTCTCTTGCTGTCCACTCTGCCTGTAAAATAAATAAATAAATAAATAAATCTTTAAAAAAAAAAGGTTGAGAGAGGGGGTAGGCATTGTAACACAGTGAGTTAAGCTGCCACATGCGATACCCGTATCTTGGCTGCTCAGTTTGCAATCCAAGTTCCTGCTAATTCTCCTGGGAGATAGCAGATGATGGCCCAAGTACTTGAGTTCTTGCCACTCACATGAGAGACCCAAGTGGAATTCCTGACTCCTGGTTTCAGCCTGGCCCATCCTCAGCTGTTGCAATCATCTGGGGGAGTGAATCAGCAGATGGAAGATACCTTGCCTCTTTCTATGTCTCTGTCACTCTGCCTTACAAATAAATCAATCTTTAAAAAAAATATTGTGGGGACTGGTGCTGTGGTGTAGGAGGTTAAGCCTTTGCCTGTAGCACCAGCATCCCAGATGGGCATCGGTTTGTGTCCCAGTTGCTTCTCTTCTGATCCAGCTCTTGCTGCTGGTCTAGGAAGGCAGCAAAAGATGGCCCAAGCACTTGGGCCCCTGCACCACCCTCATGGAAGACCTGGAGGATGCTCATGACTTTGAATGGGCTCATGACTTTGAATGGCTGTTGCAGCCATCTGGGGAGTGAATCAGCAGATGGAAGAAATCTCTCTCTCTCTCTCTCTCTCCCTCTGTCTGTAACTCTGAAATAAATAAATAAATATTTTAAAAAATAATATTGAGAGGACTACCCAAGCTACTACATGGAAAGCCCTTGTAACTGTGCCTGACACACGCCTTCCTTTCAGAATGGAGTCCCTTACTCTGTGTGGACTCTAAACAATTTCCCTACACCCTGGTGGTGAATTGTCATGGTGATGGAGGTAATAAAGAAAAGGCAGATGATCTGCAGCTAATAGGTACTTCATACCGAGGTCTGAAGTTTCTGAATGCAAATTCTGTGTTTTGTAGGATGATGCAGGATCAAGATAACTCTTGATAAACATCCATGTGGCTGGGAGTTGGTGGGGGAGGCAAGAAGGAAACCTAGAACCAAAGAACCATTTTTAGTATAAACTTATTTGTATTTAAAAACTGAAAATCAAACCCACCTTTATATACATTGCACGTGTGAATCACAGAAAAAAAAAGTCTACACAGGTACACATCAAATTACCTGCAGTACTACCCCTGGTATGAGAGCATATTTTTTATGGGGTTTGCTTTTCATGGCTCTAGCTCATCATGACTATAATGAAATGGCTGAGGCGACCAGTTTCATAAAGAGAACGGGTATTTTTAGCTCTTGGTTTTGAAGCTTCAAGTCAAAGATGGATGACACTCCCCCTGCCCAGTTTGGCCGCTGAAGGGGTGGGCGGTGGCCGGCAGAAGTGGAGTGTGTGCTGAGAAAGGATCCCACGGTGAGCCAGGAAGCAGACTGGCGAGGCCCACGCTCAGGCTTCGTAACAACCCTCTTGTGAGAGCCACCTTCCGAGGGCACCTTGATGACCATCTAAGCCCCACCTCCTAGGGTCCTCCACAATGGCATTAAGTTTGTACCCACTCAGCACCATTAACATAAGACTTTGAAGACTAAACCCCTGAATTCAAACCACAGTACCGCAGCAAGAGGACAGCAGGGGGCAGAGAACACTAACACCTGCAAAGATGCCCATAATCTAAAGGGAAGGAAATCTGCTGAGTCAGCTGGTCCCTGGACCTACAGCCAAACTCACGCCGTGGCCACACCTCACTGGAGGTCTCCCACGCAGCCTGGGATGTAAGAGTGAGCAGCAAGGAACACAGGGATAACCAAACCCAGTCTGCACCTTACAGGCTAAACAGCATCAGCAGGCAAAGATGACAGGAAGCCAGCCAACTGGCCAGAGGCCCGTCTAGCCAGAAGGGCCAAATGAGCTCCTAATTGTGTTCCCAAAGCAAGCACATCTCCACATCTCTCGCCTACCAAGCATTTAAGACGATCCAAGTCTCAGGAGAGCCCGCACTCAGCCTACACCTGTGCCATGCACTGCAGGTGCATAATATTTCTGGGCTGGAGAAAGCCTCCGCCTGTCATCAGAGAGGAGTCTCTTAGGTACACCCAGATAAGCCGGTGTCTCAGGGACTCCCTACATTTCTACTTTGAGCATTCATTCAATACCACTGGGTACTGAGCACTGGGTTCAACAATGAACAAGACCCAGTGCCTGGCAGCTGGCGCTGTGGCATAGCGGGTAAAGCCGCCGCCCGCAATGCTGGCATCCCATATCGACACCGGTTCAAGTCCTAGCTGCCCCACTTCTAATCCAGTTCCCAGCAAATGTGCCTGGGAAAGCAGTGGATAATGGCCCAAGTCCTTGGGCCCCTGCACCCACGTGGGAGATACAGATGAAGCTCCTGGCTCCTGGCTTCGGATGGGTGCAGCTCCTGGCTTTGGATCAGCACAGCTCCAGACAAGTACCCCGCTGCAAATGCCAAGAGGCCCAGCCTCGCTGGGGCCTAGGGGACCATGGTCCCTCTGTCGTACCCAGCACTAGGCTCTGCCCCATATTCTTTGGCACCTTAATTTTTGAGTTTTACCTGAACACATGAGCAGTCTCTAATAGAGGCTGTGACTCCAATCCACCAAGAAACCAAGCTGAAATGCCAGGGTCCTGTTGTCAGGAAGGCTTGCCTGGGGGATGCGCCATGGCCAGCAACACTGCTGTTGATACACACTGAGCAGTCTCCACACTCAGTCCACTCGGGCAATGCCTAACTTTTGTCCTGAGTATGCCTGACCTGCTGTTAATATGCAGCTTCCCTCTTTAACAGCTCCCCTCCCTTCCTGTTCACACTCCTATGGTTTGGGTCAGCCACACCTTGTAATGAGTGGATTCAGGTTTCCAAAGCCTGCTCTTTTTAAGGACGCATGGGAGCATGGGTTTACGACTGGGCATTCCAGCAACAAAGAACAGAAGAGGTGGGCATTTGGCCTAGCAGTTAGGACGCCCACGTCCCACATCAGAGTGCCAGAGTAACCTATATCCACATCGTGGCCCTGCTCCCAAGTCCAGCTTCCTGCTAATGCAGCTCCTGAGAGGCCGAGGTGATAGCTCAGCTGCTTGGGTCCCTGCCACCCACGTGGGAGACCTGGATAGAGTTCCTGGCTCCTGGTTCCAGCCTGGCCTCATCCAGGCTTTTGCAGGCATTGGAGGAATGCCAATAATGGGAGTTCCGTGTGTGTGTGTGTGTGTGTGTGTGCATCTCAAACTTTTTTATAAAAAAGAACAGAATGAGTTAGGGAATCTACTTATTCCAATTGGCAAGCATCTATTGGATACCTTCTGTATATACTAAGGAGAATGCAAGCTCACATGGGAAATCTCTCACGACACTGACAGGCAGGGACAATAATACTACTATTACAAGAGGAATCAAGCAGAACAAGACAGAAACAAGTCACAAATGACAGGCAGGAACTCCTGAGAAGCAGAAATCATTGTTTCAGTGTAAACTGCAGAGACCCCCCCCCCCCAGAATGAAAGAATAAAACTCAAACTCAATGCTTGGTGGATGAGAATCAACATGCACAAAAAATATCTTAAAGATAATATATTTCTAGAACCAACAATGAATACATAAACAAACTCTTATTATTTTACAGTTACACATTGAAACCTGAAGCAGCTCTGGCTCCTCTCCTCCTCTCTCTTCTCTCTCCTCTCTCTAGCCTCCTCTTCTCTCTCACTCCCCTCTCTCCTCGCCTCTCTCCTCTTTCCTTTTCCTTCTTTGCCCCTTCCTCCAGTCTGCTGCGTTTGCCCCAATAAACCCTTTCCCTTAAAGAAAGAAAGAAAGAAAGAAAGAAAGAAACCTGAAGCAGATAAGAAGGTGTAACTACAGGAGGGATCAGGTTAGCAACGAAATAGACTGAACATACGTCAGAGACAACTGCTTTATATCTACATAGATAGTAGCCAACACAAGAGACTGCCTTGGCACAGACACGCACTGAAGACATTTCTATGGTACACACAGGTATGGGCCTGACATCTGTACATATTAGAAAAGTATAACTCACTTCCACAGCCACGTTGCTGGGACGGCACAAGAATCTACAAGCTTTGCACTCACATTTGACCTGTTCGGGGCTGGCATTGTAATGCACGGGGTTAAGTCACCATTCCAAAAGGAAGTATCCATAGCAGAGTGCCAGTGTGAGTCCCAGCTGCTCTGCCTCTGATCCAGCTTCCTGCTAATGTGCCTGGAAAAGCAATGAGTGATGGTCCAAGTGCTTGGACCCTTGCCACCCACTTGGGAGACGTGGATGGGTGTTCCAGGCTCCTGGCTTCACCTTGGCCCAGCCCTGGCTTTTGGGGCCAATTGGGGAGTGAACCAGCAGATGAAATATCTGTCTCTTCCTCTCTCCTTGCTCTCAGAAACTCTGCCTTTCAAATAAATAAATTCTTTTTAAAAATTAAAAATAAATAAAATAAAATTTGACCTGTGTCCCAATTGGGACACAATAAACTGACCAAAGAACGTATGTATCTTAGTCTTTAAGGGAGATAACATTTTCATTCCAGATGAATAAAATAGGCCAGCGCCACGGCTCACTAGGCTAATCCTCCACCTGTGGCGCCGGCACACTGGGTTCTAGTCCCAGTCGGGGTGCCAGATTCTGTCCCGGTTGCCCCTCTTCCAGGCCAGCTCTCTGCTGTGGCCCGGGAGTGCAGTGGAGGATGGCCCAAGTCCTTGGGCCCTGCACCCACATGGGAGACCAGGAGAAGTACCTGGCTCCTGGCTTTAGATCAACGTGATGCGCCGGCCGCAGTGCGCCAGCCATGGCGGCCATTGGAGGGTGAACCAACGGCAAAGGAAGACCTTTCTCTCTCTCTCTCTCACTGTCCACTCTGCCTGTCAAAAAAATAAAAATAAAAATAAAAAAATAAAATAGCAAACTGGATTCCTTATCCATTGCTATAATTCGAGTACAATTTATCCCTCAGACTCATACAAGAGTTTAATCCCCAAAGTTTTACAGTAATGATATTAAGAGGGTAGAAACTTAACCCAACTGTAGTGCTTAGAGGTGCGGGGAGGGCAGGGTCCTTTGGGAAGTGATAAGATTAGGTCAGTAAGCTGGGTAGCTGTGACTGAATCCTGGTACCTATGTACGAAGATACCACACATACACAGATGTGACGCAGCCAAAGCCTGTGTCACCTGTTTAGACTCTGAACCTCCAGAACCATGAGCCAAAATGAGTCTCTTCTTTACACAGTAGCCTGCCTCGGGTATTCTGTTATAGTGCTGAAAAGCTGACTCATCCAAAAACCCCTTGTAAAGTTGGACGAGATGAATCCACTCTGAAGAAACTCGTCTGCTCTGAGAGTGCTGAGCCCAGGATGTTAAGAACACAGGCCGACGTAAATGGCAAACCCCTCTACCTGCAACCATGAATTCTGCAGTGAAAAGAGGAATAACAATTCAATAATTCACAGTAATGGGATGCAGCAGCAGACGGTTCAAGTCGTTGGGTTCCTGCCACCCACATGGGAGATTTAAATGGAATTCCTGGGCCCCAGCTTTGGCCTGGCCCAGTTCCAGTCATTGTGGGCATTTGGGGGAGTGAACCAGTGGATGGGAGTTCTCTCTGTGCATCTTTCTCATCCTGTCTCTCTAATTCACCAATAAACTTTTTTTTTTTTTTGACAGGCAGAGTGGACAGTGAGAGAGAGAGACAGAGAGAAAGGTCTTCCTTTTTGCCGTTGGTTCACCCTCCAATGGCCGCCACGGCCAGCGCACTGTGGCCGGCACACCGCACTGATCCGATGGCAGGAGCCAGGTGCTTATCCTGGTCTTCCATGCGGGTGCAGGACCCAAGCACTTGGGCCATCCTCCACTGCACTCCCTGGCCACAGCAGAGAGCTGGCCTGGAAGAGGGGCAACTGGGACAGAATCCGGCACCCCGACCGGGAATAGAACCTGGTGTGCCGGCGCCTCTAGGTGGAGGATTAGCCTACAAATAAACTTTTTAAATTATTTCACTAGGCCAGCACTGCAAC